GGTTACTGGAAGCAGCCCGAAATATTTATTGGCGTCAAAGACTTCTTCAAGTTTATCAAACTAGATGCAGCACAAGAATTGGAATCAGGATTTCTGTTACTCAGGGCAAAACTTGGACCAATGCTAGCCGGGAATGGTTATATAAATAATATTCGCAAAGCAAGTGCTACACCAATAACCTCAGCCGTATCATGCATGGCTAGCGTAACGAGCCACGATGACATCGACCAAGTTAGAACTGATGGGTATCCAAGACCAGCCGAACGAAAACGATGATGAGCAAGCCCTTGAGCAATTTAAGAAAAGTATAACGAAACAAGACGGGAGATACCAAGTTTGCTGGCCTTGGGAAAACTCGAAGGATAAACTAAAAAGCCATTATGGACTATGCTTCGGAAGTCTTAAAACCTTGATCAGAAGACTTCAGAACAATGAAGAGATACTTCGACGGTACAACGAAACGATTAAGGATCAACTGCAGTCAGGCATAATTGAGGAAGTTCATCCTGATATGGATCAAAAGGGTATAATTCACTATCTACCTCATCACAAGGTAATATCTCCGCACAAACCTATACTAAAACTCAAGATAGTCCATGATGCTTCGGCGCATCTTAAGGGAACAAAAAGTTTAAATATCGCGGACCTATCATACTTCTAGATTTAGTAGAAATACTATTGCGCTTTCGAATGATGAAGAATGTAATCATAGCCGACGTCAGAAGGCATTTTTACAATTGGAACTGCATCAGTCCGACAGGAGCTGTACCAGATTCCTCTGGGTAAATGATATTAAATGTGCGGTTATCGAGGAAAACCTGAAATGTTATCGTTTTCGAAGACTTCTTGGAGTAATATCATCACCGTTTTTGCTAGCAGCAACACTCAATCATCATCTAGAAACGATCGGAAACCAGACAGAATTAGAGATCAGGAGGAATTTATATGTAGATAACGTCATGTTGTCAGCAAACGGAACAAGGGAAACCATAAATAAATATCACGAAGTGAAGGATATCTTTAAGAAGGCGGCGATGAATATTCGCGAATTTCTTCCTAATGACCAAAACTTCAATAAGGCAATGCCAAAATAAGACAGAATTGAAGGAGGCGCAACAAAAATTCTTGGGATCACTGGATAAACGATAAAAATACAATAAGAGTAACACTGAAACCATGGATCGAACATGAACTCACCAAACGAAGTGTCTTGCAATTTGTTGCTTCGCAATATGATCCTTTGGGATTTTTAGTACCCGCAATGATCCAGTTCAAACTATTTTTCTAAAACTTATGAAATAATTCTTGGGATCAAATCCTCGATGAAGATGATAAAGAAGCGTGGCGATCTCTTACAAAGGAAAGGCCTGCAGACATTATCGAGATACCGAGGCTGACTACAAAAAAGCTTTCAGATCAACAACTCCATGTCTTCACAGACGCATCAAGTGTTGCGTATTCAGCAACTGTATACATTTTAAACAAACATGTCGACGAAAGAAATAGTGCAATACTTTTCGCCAAATCAAGACTCGCTCCAATCAAAGGTATGAGTATACTACAATTGGAACTGCTAGCAATACTTGCTGATGTACGAACCGCCAACTTTGTTATAAAGCAATTAAGTCTGGAAAAAATTCCAATAGTGTTATGGCCTGATTTAAAATGCGCACTACATTAAATACAAAATTGATTGAAATTACTACCCAAATTCATACAAAACCGAGTAGAAGAAATACGAAAGGTAAACTTTCCATTTTGACATGTACCAAATGAAGATAATCCAGTCGATA